CTCACATCTCCCTTTAGTTACCTGGTATTAATTGTGGGTCCTATTTTATTTAAATTTTCTTTTTTTTTTACATCTTTTCTTTGGCCTAAATTATTACTTTGCTTGCCGCCCCCTCGCCTCAATTACCTGTCAAAGGCCTCTTTAGTAACCTGTAGGAATGGCTGCAAAACAGCTACAGCAGCATTATTCACTAACAAATCAATATCTTCTACTGTGCTTAGTGCAGCCTCTGTAGCTTCCCAGTCTGCGAGGTCAACACACAATGTCTGGATGCCTTGGCACTGAGGACAGAAGTAACATTAAGAAAGACGGGGATTGAAGCTGATTACAAAGCAGGGGAGTTAGACTGCTAGTTTCAAGTGACTTTTAACAAAGTATACAAAATAAAACTTTACCAGGACAGAATCCTGATTTCAAACAACAGTCCAAGGAGATGTAATTCCTTCATTAAGCTTGAACTGCAAGGATATTTTCACACAACATTCCAATTTTGTTTTTGATACTCAAAAAGACTAATTTGGACATCTGCAATTCTAATTAGATTCTTCTATGGTATATCCTGCAATAACCACCCATAATAATAAAAAAATGCCCTTGGAACATGTTTTACACTAGGTGAAGAATGTCCCAAGAATGGCAGATGAGTTCAGTTGGTACAAAGTACAATTTCCCTTTTCATGGTAATCCTGTGAGAAAATGATGAGAAATGCAGTAAATAGCTTATTTTTAAATCAGTGCTGTTCTGGGGATTGCCCTATGGGGAACATAGATTGCAAGTGGCTATCTGATAGTGGTAGCTTTTCAATGACACTCCCTAGCAAGCCAGGCACAAGTTTTTAACCTATAAAACCCAGGCATTTCCAGATTATGTCAAGTCATTTTATTCCCCTTCAATGCCAGACAAGTGCGGAAAACAGGGTGGAAGTTAATTTGCTCTTTTGTCTTTCAGTACAGCCTAAAGGATAAAGCAGCTGGTAAAAAATGGGGACAACCCTGAAGGCTTTTCAGGTTTGTCCCCATTTGTCCCCAAGGACTGCTGCAGGTTTTCTCTTAAAAAGTATTTCAAATGTTTGGGTAAAGGGCAGGAAGGGAGCAATAGAGTATAAAAATGGTTAGGACCAGTCAATAATCTACTCCAATTTTAACAGGAAGAATTTTTTTATTTCTTCAGCACCTAGTGGCACTGGATACTCTGATTAATTGGTTACCCTGAGGCATGATAAACTTGTAATGGAAAGACAGGGTGGAAGGTCTGCTTTTGCAATGATTAAAATCACAAGCCATGCACTTGGCACACCTGAATGGTGAAATGTAGTAATATCTGCTTAGTCAGTATCTCATGATCTGACCATTCTATTGCAGATCTGCCTCAAATAGTTGAGATCTGGCACATAAAAGGCATGCACTTTTCAGGCATGTATAGGAACATACATCTGCATATACAAGGACTTTTCTTTTTGAGGGTGGGCTAACAAAAATAGGATGCAATTGAAGTGTAGCTCCATTCACAGAAATTAATAGGCTTGAGGTAATGGGGCCCTAACGGAATGAAATTCAAGGTTTATCTAGACGAGTGATTCTCAAAGTATGGTTTACTCTTTCAGGGGAATGGAGTATTTTATAAATAACATTTCTCAACTTTATAACATACAACACATCAATGATATAACTCACACAAAGCTTTCTGTGTGTCCTCAATCACTTACAAAAACTAAAGAGATACCCAGGCTAAAACCTTTGAGAACTGATCTAATCCAATATGTGGAGGTCCCAGTGGAAAAGCTGTCTCATATTGCCTTTTCCCAGAAACAAAGCCATCCTTCCTCTGAGTTAGAGGCAACCACCCAGGCATGGCCCTCCAGGAAGAGAGGATTTCCCTTCGGCCAGAGGGAAAGCGAGGGTCGGGCCAGGCAAAAGCCAAAGGAGAGCCACCACTGGGCAAAGGCTGAGCAGGCAGGAGCCACGCTGCCTCTACCTCTTCTTGCAGGCTCTCGAGATCTGTCTGGGTCCGGCTCACCGCCACCACCTGAGCCCCCGCCTGGCTCAGCCGTACCGCCACAGCCCTGCCGATCCCTGCAAAGGGGAGCACAAGGTTGTTACACTAATACCGCGGGGCTCGTCCCCGAAGCACCACGGCTGCTCCAGCGGCGCTGCCCCGGGGACGCTACCTTTGCCTGCACCCGTCACCACAGCGCGGCGCCCAGAGAAACGCTCCATCCTCCGCGGCGGCTGAACTTCCAATCGGCGCTGGAGGCAGCGCTGGAAGGGAAGAGGCGGCGCCCGAAGGGGCTTCCACAAGGGGGAAGGAGGCCTTCCCTCCGCCGCCGCCGCCGCTTTCTCCCCTATTAAACCCTCCCGGCTCCCAGGTGTCGTGTTTGCAGTCTCGCCCGAGGACGCGTCCCCTCGTCCCGGGTCTATCGGGAGCGCCCGAGCCCGGCGTCTGGCGTCGTTCGGGGCACCGGGTGTAAAACCGCATCCGGGCTACCGCTCCTTTGTCTGAAGGGGAGGTTCCCGGTTCCTTATGTCGCCATGTTTTTTTCTCCCGTGGACGGTGGAGGAACTAAGAGTTTCGCGTATTTGTGGTGTGGGTCCCTGGCACAAAATCGGAGCCATGCAAGGCTTCTTGTGTTTTATGATACCGACCCATTGTAGGCTGATAAATACAATAGAGAGGTTGTTGAGTGAGAGAGAAATTGTAATATAATGGCCAAATATTATATTGGTTTTATTATACTGGTTGGAGAGTGGCTTCTGATAATCACGAAGTGCAAAATGACAGTATTTAATACCTGAGGCAATAAGCAGTAGAAATTCAACAATACAGAATAAACAATTTTATGTGACACCTCACTGTTGATACTTTAGCACTAGCAATAGTACTTATATACCACTTCATAGTGCTTTAAAGCAGCAGTCTCCAACCTTTTGGGCTTTGGAAGGGAAGAGGGGATGGTTCCATGTGAATGGCGCGTGAATGTGTGTGTGTGTGTGTGTGTGTGTGTGCGCTTGCCTGCCACACCTGCGGTCAGATTTTGAATGGGCCATGGTCTGGTAGTGGGTCAGACAGCCCAAGGGTTGCATGCCCCTGCTTTACAGTAGTGATTTGATTTACAGTAGTGAGTGATTTACGGTATCGACAGATTGCCCCAAACAATCTGGATCCTCATTTCATTGACCTTGGCCGGTCAGGATTGAACTGCTGGCAGTTGGCAGAATTAACCTGCAATACTACATTCTAACCACTGCCATCACGACCCTATTCATATTCCAGTAATAATATATCAATATAATAATTTAATGACATGTTAACAAATAATTTAATAACTTCTAAAGAAGAAAGATCAATTTCAATGTTGCTTGGACTGGTTAGGAGATGGCATTTGACTCTCTGCAACATAAGTAATCTCCTTTAATTGTAATTTATAGTTCCTTTTAAAAAGAATTCAAAACCAAAAAAAATTCTCACAGGAAGGATTCTTACGTTTTTCCAAAATCTTATTTCAAATCCTTAATCAATTTGTAACTTTCCAAAAAATCAAAGTTCTAATCACCCTTTTTCTGTTTATGCCAATAATTTTTTGTGAGTTCTTAAATACTTGTATTTAAAAACTTCATTCGCTAAGGATTAAAGGAAACTCAGCTGGTGTTATAAAACTTGTCAATCTAAAGATTCCTAATAGCTGAAAAGCAGTTAGTAAGCAATATCCAAAACTGATTAGAAAAAGAAGTATGTGAACTCGGTGTCCATTTTGAAGGTGCTAATTGTGATTTCAGCAACAGATTATTCCTTTGTCTTCTAGAGCTCTACCCACCAGAGACCAGTATATTATGGTCTCCTCATAAGGAGCAACTGTATGGAGCACTTCTGGGCAATTTCAAGCTCTCTCCTTGTCCAGAGAATTACGAAGAGCCAGTCTACTTGTCAACTCTTCATTCTATCACAATCATTGGCTCTGCCTTTAGTGTAACTGTTTTCAGTTTGCCATTGCTTCCTGGGAAGTCCTTTTCAAATGCTTAATTATAAGTGCTGGTGAATATACTGTAAATAGAGTACATTTGGAGTTAAATGCAGAGTAACAGAAAGTAATTCAATAAGAAAATTGATCAATTTTCCACAATTAGGTTTACTAAATGTTCTGGTCTAGAGGAGGCCAGTTTTGAATAGCTGACAGCCCGACAGTGGCCCCTGGCCCAGGGACCTATTATGGCACTCGGTGATAGTGAATCCCCAAACCGCCCTGAGTCTTTCGGGAAAAGGGCGGTATAAAAATTTAATAAATAATAATAATAATATATTCCTTGGGGGGAGGGGGCATTAAGCTCTCTGCTCTACCTAATTTCATGTGCCATGATTCTTTTACTAAGACATAATAAGGATCAAAGAAAAACCAAATAAGGAAAACATGGGAAAAGTACAATGAAGGTTACCTCTAAAGAAAAAAGCAATATAAAAACTACTTGTCACTACTCAAAGCTGTATCCTGACCAACTCAATTCTTTGTAGCAGATGAATGTGCGTTACAATCAAGCTTCCATCTACAGTTTAAGTTATTTTTAAGTATAACAATCTTGATTTCAACTTTTACATGTTTTTGTGCCTTGGCAAATACTTGGCTTCAATTTTGGATTCTTCTGTCAAAATAAAATGTCCATCAGCTGTTTCAAGAACGCTCAGCAGAGACAATAATACATGCAGCTATCATCTCCAAAATTAGTTGTCAGTATTGTTACATTTTTCATCAGGTGGTGCTCACAATCAGAACTGTTCTGGAGCTTACAGCAAACCAGATAGGGGGCACATCAGACAATCCAGTACAATCTGGATTGGTTCATAAAATAGCAATAGCAATAGCACTTAGACTTATATACCGCTTTATAGTGCTTTTACTCTAAGCAGCCCTCTCTAAGTGGTTTTACAGAGTCAGCATATTGCCCCAGCAATCTGGGTCCTCTTTGATGAATGCTGCTATATTTACAAGAAGGATTCTGTACAATAGTAGTGACTCAGAAATATATTTTATTAAGTGACTAAGTTGCTCATGGAACCAGTGGAAAACCCTCAAAAAATCTCATGATCCATCCTTTTACATATATATTTGCTAATACTCATTTTCTCAAAAGATCCAATCTACTGGGTGTTGGGTGCATCACATCAGAAAGTCTAGATGCAATATAATAGGTAAGATTCAGATGATGGCCCAGCCAACTGAAACATCTGTTTCAATATCTTGAAACAATTAGTGGTTAGAAAATATTGAAGACCAATCATTTGGGACTTGACTCTGACAGTGGAGAACGTCTAAAAAGGTAAGAAGGAAAGCAAACCATGAAGGAAAGAGGTTCTGGTATTGCACAGAGCAGAGAAGTTGCTAGGGATTGGTTTGTCTCATATTCACTGTAAGAGATGACATTTCTAACATTTCTTCTGTGGTTCCACAGGAATACAATTGGTAAATCAGAATTAACTACCTTCCCAAATAAGAACACTTGTCCTAATAACAAAAAAGCTATGCTTTGCTCCAAACATTTCTATAAATGTCTCTTTATCAGCCATATTGCTACAGTGCCAGACTGCAGCTTTATATTGAAATTGTACTAATACAATGTGGGAAGGATTATGGCTCAGCAAAGATATATTTAAGACTCCAAAAGAAATATTGCAGATATTATTTATAATGCGCCCCAGACCAAATTTCTCAAGTATTATTTTGATGAGTGGCTGGTTTATCTGGGACTTGCTTTGTCTTTCTTCTTCCTCTGATATATAGCTCTCGCTATTAATTTAAAGAAAGCTGCGTAAAAGATTCACAGGAAAGGGGAGATGTCATTTCACTATTGCGGTAGGGCACCACAGAGTTTCAGGGTAGAGGAGGCAGTGAACAGATTTGAACCTGCAAAGAACAAGGTAAGAAGTTATAGTCTAATCCTGCAAATATATTATCTGGCAATTTTCAGTTGTCATGTTTGAATTTCTTAACCGAACAAGTAGGTTAGGGGATTTAAGACATAATGTACACACCGAGTTGGATCTTGTTGTATACTGAATACTTCACCCACACTGACAACATTGCGTTTATTCTCAGGGCCACCATAACTTAAGGTAACCTAGAAAAAACACACACAACCCATATATTCAAAATTGCACTTGTTAGAAATAATTAATTTTAAAAATTGGAACACATTTAAGTCCTAAAATTGGGTTCTACAGTTAGTATAATTAGTTACCAGGGATTGGAAATATATTACAATCTCTCTAGGATTAGGACCAATTGAAACATCTTAGTTGGGAAAATGGAAATGAATAAAATCCCACAACTGCTGCTATCAGGTTAAACAATCCTTAAACTATTATAAGGGGAAAATATCATATCTCCTTATCATATCCATCTTTTTAATGTTTACTTTTTTTTTTTGAGCGTACATTACTGGATGTGAAAGTAAGGCCAAGATAATGAGGAACAGTTTTTAAAATACAAGTAATCCTTGTTTAGTGAGCATTTGGTTCTGGCAACTTGGTTATTAAGTGGCTAGTAAGTGAAACTGCTACGGTGCTCATGATCTTATTTCAACTTTCTTTTCCAGGACAGACCTGTGAAGGTAATAAATGTGAGGATTGGTTGTAAAGTTATTTTTTCATCACTGCTATAACTTGGAACAGTTGCTAAATGAGGCAGTCACTAAACAAGGACTACAAGGTATTCTTAAAATTGACAAAACTTCCCTGGAATCCCTGAAGTATAGTGTTTATCTTATTTTTCTTTTACTTTAAATATTGCTACATGCTATTTACTCTTTCTCCCTTCATGAATCACTGCCTTGTCATGTACTCTTTCACTTCCCTGTTTTCCACACATAGTATTCAAATAAGTATACAAATTCAACACTGACATTTAACTTCTTTCTCGATCGTTTTATGCATATCTTCAAAACCAAGCCTTCGCCTCAACAGTAATTTAAGAGCAAGTGATTCTTATTTTTTACACTTATTTTACTTAGAAAATACCCATCCTTTCTTCTCCTTGTTCTTCCCATCTACCGTGAGAGAAATTCGCAAAAGGCTTTCGTATTTTGTTTGTACTACATCAGTACTGTCGAAGATGACAAACTTGCAGCATAGTCTCAGTAAGAAACTCCCACGAAATAGACCCTTTTAAGGAGGGAAGAGGAAGTGGGTGGGTGAGAGGGCAAGAAGCATCTGCTTAGTTTAGAGCATAGTTGTCCTTACTTGTCTGAGTGCAGCTTTACCACGCAGCCGCTGTAAATTTTCCAGATGAGAGTGAAATAAAGGGCTGTGCAACAGTTTCACTTCCAAGAGCCCCTCAATGATGTAGCCAATGGTGCAATCATCAGGGAGGCGAATTCTCTCTGCAGTGCTGATGAAGCTGCCAAGGCTGTCAAAAGCAAAAGTCAAGGAATGAATCTCTCCTTAGTTCCATTTGGGCCACAGGTGGGAGCAAGCGTTCCAAGTGCACCTACCTAGCCCATGGGCTCATCTTGAGGGCCAGGCCTCTGCTGATGCAAAATCCAGCACCACCTGTGGCAAACCAGAACTTTGTAGTGGTCTAGCAAAATAAAGAGATACATGCTAATATGACTCAGCAATTTGTGATCAAATGGATGTTATCAATTCTATTTGACTATTAGAAAGCCTCAGAAAATTGTTGGAGCTTTGGGAAACCAATCTTAAATCAAATTTGAATTTAAAGAAACATACCAGCTGTGGACTTGCTTTGTGTATAACTAATTCTTCATATAGCTTCAATGAAATTGGTTCAGTCAGACTTATGGAATGAAACATGTATAGGATTGTAATCATAATACTATTTTCTATGGCTGTAGAACAGAATAATCACTATAATTAATTACAGAGAAACAGCCAAGTGTAAGTAAAGGAATGAAAACACAACTGTATCTATAAATTCAAAGTTGAATTTTGCAATTTGTTTTAAAATATGAAAATTTGCACATTTCTTATTTCACATGAAGAAGCTTAGATCTTTTAATTTCTTTTCAAAAATAAGGTACAGGTACCTCAGGTACACTCTGGGAAATGCTTACAGTACTCTCTTGAAACCTCTTCTTCTCCAATCTCTCTGCTCTGGGAGAGGGGGAGAAAAAAGCAAGCAATTTTTGTAGGCAATCTCTTCTTTGCCTGACCTTTTCCCACTGCCAGTGCAATTCCATTGCTTTCAATGTGCATAAGAGCAAACCACTTTCTCTCTTAAAACCCTTCTCCAATCTGTCTGTCCTGCAAAGGGTGGGGGGGGGATGCAGAGAGGAAAAAAAGGAACCCATTTCTGCAGGCAATCTCTCCTCTGTCACTGCCTTCCCTCTTGCCTTGCAGAGTGGAGAGGTTGGAGAAGGGATTTAGAGTACTGTAAGCTGTTTGTGTAGCATATCTGCAGTTCTCATCCTTGGGCTGCTGGCACAATCCCATGTGTAGAAGAGCAAACAGGTTATTTTCTTGCAATATGTTTCTTTCCAATCTCTATACTGAAGGGTGGGCACAAGATGAGTACTGATTATAATGGCAATCACATGATTGAGGGACACTACAAAGGTTGTAAATTGGGTGTAAAATTATTTTTCAGTACCATTGTAACTTTGAACGGTCACTGAAGACATGGTTGATAAGCGAGGACAATCTGTAATCAGCTTTTAAATGGCATATTGTGAGTTGCAGTCCAAAGTGGGTGAAATGGAAATTCTTCAAAACTTAAGGTACCCACTCTGTTCCTAAAAATCTTCCACCCTACCTAATCCCAAATAATGCCAAAAAAAACCCAGCTAAAATTTGCTAGTTCTAGGAATTTTAAGAATGGGTGTTTCTGGTAGCACCTTTTGAACTTCTGCCTAAAGTACTGCTATCAAGTGCTTCTAAATAAGGGTAACTCCAATGGAAAGATCACAAATACGGTGTTCCTTCTGCTTATTATTCTGAACTTATTAAGCACCAATGTCATAAACAAAATCTTGTTATGGACTGATAAACTGGAAGGATAGATGGCAATTCTACACTTTGTTTCTGAAGGATGCAACCTTTTTATAGTATTCACAAACAGGTTATATTATATGGAGGGAGGGAGTAGTAAAATTAAAGTCAGAGGAGGAGCACTGCTACTGGCAACGAAATCTATCTATCAGCAGTCAATTCAGTGCAACAAAGGAAGCAATGGTAGTCTGAAATAATAGCATCTGCAAAAATCAACTTCAAGGCATGCCTCTTAGGGAAGTGTTGCCCGCTCCCATGCTGGTGGGCTAGAAAAATAGCAAAATAGGATGTGGAATTCCAGATGAAAGTAAACATGCAAGACTACAAAAATCTGCTTTTTTTCAGTTCATGAAAACCAACAGTGAAAGAATCTGCTCACTGATCCATCATTCCGGAGATGGTCTGTTGCTTCAATTGGATGGTCCAGACTTGGTCTTCCTATATATATATCTTGGCTGTGTGAAAAAGCAGATAAAAGACTCAAGAGACTCTTCAAATTCACATAGTTGTCATCGTCTACATGACAAAACCACCTGCAGAAAATGCAGAAAAGAAAATTGTAGTGGAGGTCATAACAAAGATATAACAAAGCTCTCTTTGAAGACGACCTCATTTTTCAGATCTATGCATTATTGACAATGCAAATGACATAATTAAAATGCGAACGGGGAGAGAACAAATGGAGAAAATATTTTCAACTACATAAAATTAATAGTATTCTCCTATTTTATTTGCTGATCAAAAGAACAGCAGATCCTAATTGATGAAGCCAAAAGAGCAATGAAAGTAATTATTTATTAAACAAATGATTTCCACTTACTTTTGCCCAGACTCTAGAAATTTATCATATTCCACTGACATCTTGCAGCAGAGAGCTTGGCGGGTGTGAACAGCTGAGCAATTGGTATTAATTATATGATCCCCTATAAAATAAAATTGATTGCAAAGGAACAATTTATGTAGTTTCTGATAGCAAATATAATTGTATTCATATACGAAGAAGAGCTCTGAGTGTTACATTACATCTATTGTTCTACGCTGCTCAGAGTTGCCTTTGATGAGATCAGCAGCTACATAAATTTGATTAATTAATAAATAAGCATCCAGTGCTAGCTGTGAAGGATCTAGATTGCATCAAACAATGTCATGCTATAAGAATATGAAATGGAAAAAACAAATGGGCAAGCATGATAGTTTTACTTAATGCTTCTGAAATTTTCACCAGGAATGTAAGAAAATATTGTATCCTTTAATAGTGCTATAGTATTTTTTGAAATTTCATGTTCCACAACTATAAAGTTGCAACTTATCTTATATTAAATTGATCTCTGCAAGCACTACTTATCATTACTGCTTTTGGAACATTAACAGGCTGAAGGAATTTAAAGTTATTAGCATCAATGCAACATTTTCAATGGAGGCAAATAGGAAGTATTTCAAAAAGAAAACAATCTTTTTGTACCCAGAAAAGGAAATAACTGAATATAACATCATGAACAGCAAGTGCACTGTGGACAGCATCTATTTTCAATTCCTTGCTTCTCAGGTCAGGAACTAATTCCCGCATTCAAGACAATGACTGAGCTGGGGATCGTCTTTTTGCAAAGCATACGGTCTATATCAGGGGTCTCCAACCTTGGCAACTTTAAGCCTGGAGGACTTTAACTCCCAGAATTCCCCAGCCATCAAAGCAGCCAGCTTAAAGTCCTCCAGGCTTAAAGTTGCCAAGGTTGGAGACCCCTGGTCTATAATTCTTTCTCTAAAAAGATACTGTGTTTCCCCGAAAATAAGACCCTGTCTTATATTTTTTTGAATCTCGAAATAAGCACTTGGCCTTATTTTCAGGGAGGTCTTATTATTTTGGGGCGCATGGAGCAAGATGGGGCTCTCCTTGCCATCTTACCTGATTTGCAGCTCTGCATTTAAATATTTTCAGGGAGGGCTTATTTTCGGGGAAGGCTTATTTTAATACATGCGCTCAAAAGCCCGATTGGGCTTATTATCAGGGGATATCTTATTTTCAGGGAAACAGGGTAGTGACTCGTAAGAGTGATTTGTATCTTAAATATAAACGTGAAAAGCGAGTAACAATTTACCTGCTCTACGATGCAGCTCACGATCTTCCCCGTCTGTGAATACAAATGTCTGTAGGATACAAATCAAGAATTACTCATCTCCCGAAGATTTCAGAGTAATGTTGTTGTTAATTTCAGTCAGAATGTTATATTGGTTTCTAACAGCCTCAAGCAAAAAAGGACTCTTTTCCCTCCCTTATGATAGGTTTCAAGAGTGTTAAGCACATTATCTGATAGGCCAGTGGCCCCCAATCTTTTGGGCGCCAGGGACCGGTTCCACGGAGAGAGGCTTTTCTGCAGATCAGAGGAGGTGCAGTTTTGTGCGCTGCCTGCATCCCGCACATGTGCGGATGGGGCTTCACTGGCTTGCACAGCCCGGTTTCTGGCGTGCCACTGCCAGTCCACAGCCTGTGATAGGCAGAAAGGAAACCAAATATATGGTCTAATATGGTACAAGAAACAGTCACACAATTCTTATTTTCAGCTCAGCAAAAATCCCAACCAACCAAAGGTCAAGGGTTTCGTAGCTAGTTTGGTTTACTGGTTCAGGCACCAGACTAGAAACCCAGAGACCGTGAATCTACGGTAATCCTGTTTTAGGGATGAAAGGCAGCTGGGTGACCTTGAGCCAATTACACTGTTTCAGCCCAATTTACCTCACAGGATTATTTTTTTATCCAGGGAAAATAGGAGGAAAGAGAATTAGGAATGTTCATCACTTTGAGTCATTTGTAAAAATAATAAAGATGGGGTAAAAATAAAAATATTCTCTATTGAATTATTGTATAACTACCAGCCATTTATGATCTACCTTCATAAAACAGAAAAACATGTCAGAATCTGCATGCATGCATAACTGATCTGATGTAGGGTGAATCTGCAGAGTTGCTTCATTAGGAACAAGGGATGGGGCTAACTTGAATAGCCCTTGATTTCTGCAATGCATTATTTACTCTTGCCAGTAATTCCCTGTTATGGAGAGCTTCTAGAACTCTAATGTCATTGGGGAAAGGAGGAGTATAAATAGGTAAAATTATCATTTTTATTTTAATTGGGTGAGAGATTTAGCTTGAACTATTGTGCTATCATAAAAAAATAAAATAAGCAAATCATTTATTTCCAACACTGTGATGGTAAAAGGACATTATGTTCAACCTTTGAAAAATGTTTTAAGATGCACCTTTATATATAATTGTTAATAATAAATATCACTAACAAAATAACATAACTGTTAAATAAATAGTGTTCTTACCTGACCTTTGGCCTGGGATATCCATGTTTGGAAGAGCAAGCTTAGCCTTGTTTTATGATATTTCCTTGTGGTTTTCACAGCAATAAAAATATCTTTCAATTCCAACTTTTCCTTAGCAGAGACCTCAGCAGATTCCATATGTATCACATTGTGTGGCCTTTCATTTATCTTTCCATTATCTTTCAGATGGAATCCACCAGTGTCTGTGACATGATGATTCCATTTTTCTAATAGATTCTCTTTTGTTACGGGCACTATATTGTTGATCTCAGCATCCAAAGGATTGGAGGAATTGAACTCCACCTGCTGAAGTCGGGTATCCTTCTTGTTGAAAGTATTAAAAACAAGAGATGGATGTGGCTGAGGATAGATCTTAAATCTCCAGCTGGATTGGAATTTGGGAATTAGCAAAAGGAGAACTGTGCAAGTGATAACGGAGAGCAGGAAGCATATCTTACTGAGCCTAATGCAAGAGAAGCTCATTCTTCAGCCCCTAAGGGCATTTGCCATCTTGTAAAACTGGAATATCACTTCCCAGTGATGATGAAGCCTTTGAAATGAAGCTCAACTGTGTAAAAATTATTGAAGCTGTGGGACTTTTATAGCCATACAGTATCATCTTTGTGGCATTCAATCATTAGGGGTTGATTTCTTTGAATACCGGGGCCTGGATTTATCATCCTAAAACACAGAATTTGTCACCTGTTACATGAGAGGCAAAGAAGAAAAAAGAAACTTGAATGTTTTACATAACCTTGAGATAAGAATTAAAGTCCCTTAAAACTATCAAGGAGATGGTTACTATGGACTAACGTGAATATATGAAACTGCTTTATACAGAATCATAACTGATCTTCCTGTTCCAGTATTACTGTGACCGACAGCAATTCCCAGGTCTTTCCAATTTTCTGCTTTTGTTTTAGTTAGAACTCTAATGTGTGGGATACTGTTGAATCTCTGCTATTACAAAAGAAAAACTGGAAATTATGCAAAAAAACAATGCATTTTAGAGTATTGTTTATATGCATTATTAATAAAAATGACCTAAAATAACATTTAGGAAACATGCTGAAAGAAAGGGAAATATAACTGAAAAAGAATCTTGTTATGCCTGTGAGTTTCTGTTACTTTTTCTATTGACTTAAGCCTATTTAAAAAGGGGTCTACAATATCTAATTATTGTATATAATCTCTCTCTATATATACAATCTACATATAAGTTAAATAGAGATGGGGCCAGCACGGAGCCCTGAGGGAGTCTGTTGTTCAGGTGTCTTTGCTTACTGATTTTGTCACCCATGATGACTTGAAAGGTCCTTGCTGAAAGCATGTTATTTATTAGGCGGCCCATAGTCCTACAGGGGACAGCGTGGAGGAATTTGCTTAATAGGCCCTTCCTCCATACTGTATCGTATGCTGCTGTGAGATCCACAAATACAACAGATGTTTTCAATTTATTCCGATATACCACCTACGCTATCAACGAAGTTCTCTTATGCTGATGACCTGGCATTAGCATATAGCCACAAGGACATCGAAGCTACAGAAGGCGTACTCACAGCCTACCTTACAACTTTGAGCACATACTTCCACCAATGGAGGTTAATCCCAAGCGTAAGTAAAACAGTTACATCATGTTTTCACCTTAACAACAAATTGGCAAAAAGAGAACTCAATGCATACCTAAACAACAAACTGCTCCCATATGAGGCAACACCAAAATATTTGGGGGTCACCTTAGACAGGACTCTGTCTTTTAAAAAACATATTCAGAATATGGCTGCCAAGGTTAACAGCAGAAATAACATTCTACAAAAACTATGGGGAACAACTTGGGGAGCTTCAGCCCCAACTCTTCAATGTGCAGCCCTCGGGCTTTGCTATTCTGCAGCAGAATACTGCGCACCTGTATGGATAAACAGTTCACATACAGGACTTATTGATGTTCAACTCAACCATACGATGAGGCTAATTACTGGGTGCATAAAATCTACACCTAGTTACTGGCTACCAGTTCTTAGTCACATACTTCCCCCGCACTTACGACGACAAGAAGCTCTCATTCGGGAGTATAGTAAGATCCTGTTAAATTCCTCTTTACCCATTCATGGCTACATTCCTGATCTCTTAAAATGCCGATTAAAGTCAAGAAATCCACCACTCTTGACAGTGCTTAACCTGCTGGCTGATCATCAGAACACCACACAAAAGTGGATGGAAGCGTGGAGTAGTTATTCCCCCCAAGATATTTCTGAGCATATTAATCCTAATAGTATACCTCCAGGATTTAATCTACCCCGACACATATGGGTAACATACAATAGAATTAGAATGACTCATGGGGTGTGTGCCGACTCCTTGTATAAATGGGGAAAGACACCTTCAGCACAATGTGATTGCGGGGACCCCTGACAGACTATCCAACATATAGTGAGGGAGTGCTCTAACAGAAGGTATCCAGGAGATTTTAGGGACTTCCTCTGCGTAACAACGACAGCTACTGACTGGATCTCCAAACTCAACATTAAACTCTGAAATGTTATTTCTGTTTTCCTCCTAGGCTTTCTTACTGCTTTTTTAAAAATTGTTTTAATTGTTTTAACCTGTAAAAATGAAGTGTTTTAATATTGTGTGTGACCAGCCATACGCTAAATAAATAAATAAAATCTACAGCAAGGGTGTCAAACTCGTGTCATCACGTTGTCACATGACATATCACGGCTTTCCCCCCTTCGCTGGGGGGGCGCATCTGGCCTGTGGGCTTGACACCCCTGATCTACAGTATATTTAGTAGAAACTCCCTCCCACAAAATAAGGAAATAAACTTAATTGCATTTTTTGGATGATTAGGCTTATTTTGGGGAAAATAAGTAAAACCAAATTAATAATTGAAGTTAGATCGTTTATTCAAGAGAAGAAAAAAGACTCACAGAAACTTTCTGTCATGCCTTGTGAATGATATACTGTTAGAAGACATACCATTAATGGGTGTTGCTGAATTAAGCAATGGATAATACCAGTATATTACCTCTTTTCCTAACACCTAATTTTTCTTCTTGATACTCCCCCTTTTCTTTCTTATTGACATGTTTTCTCTTTTTCCCATCCAGCAGATTTCAAGAAAAACCAGATCAACCTTGCATAACCCTCTGAATTAAGTGTTTGTAAACCGCTTTTGAAATAAGCCCAAAAAGTGCATGTAATTAAAGCAAGAACCACATTGGCCACCGCCCCTGCTTTATATTATAGGGGTTGTGAAATACATTGCAGAATTGCAGTCCATTCTGCACAGAATCAAATGCATTAAATCAAATGTGCTTAGGAAACCCCAATAGGACAAACAAATGAAATTTACAGATTTGATTTTTAAGTGCACCGATGCCTTGGTAAAGAAATCTTTAGAGCTCCCCTCGCCCCCAAATATGTCACTATGAGATCATTCCAGTAAATAAGCAAAAAGTACAGCATATATTCCAAGCAATATTTGTATTTTTTTTTTTTGGGGGGGGGAAAACGACAACTGCTTCCCCCAAGAGCTGCTTCTTATTGACAAGATGCAATGGATGGAAAGTAACCAAGGAGAGAAGCAACCTAGAACTAAGGAGAAATTTCCTGAAAGTTAGAACAATCAATCAGTGGAACAACTTGCCTCCAGAAGTTATGGGAGCTCCAACACTGGAGGTTTTTAAGAAGAGATTGTCTGATGTGGTATAGGGCTTCCTGCCTGAGCAGGGGGTTGGGCTAGAAGACCTCCAAGGTCCCTTCTAACTCTGTTATTCTATTCCAGGAGTCCCCAAACTTGGCAGCTTTAAGACTTGTGGACTTCAACTCCCAGAATTCTCCAGCCAGCTATGCTGGCTGGAGAATTCTGGGAGTTGAAGTCCACAAGTCTTAAAGCTGCCAAGTTTGAAGACCTCTCTAAAGGAGGGGGAGGATATTGCTACGCGTTATAATCCTGAGTAGCAATTGATTCTTAAATAAATTTAGGATTGGGGTCTCACGATCATTTTTAGGTCAATTGTAATTTCAAGCAGAAAGAGTTTAAAGCCGACACATTTAGAAAGAAGTCCTAGGGATCGTCCGGGCTTTTTCTATAGGGCAACCTTCTCTGGGGACCAGGCATCCCAAAGCGGTTGCCTCGACTCCTCACCATGGCAACACGCACGCACGCACGCACACCTTGACTCCCCCTCCTCTCCTTCCTCCACTCCCCCCCCCCCGCCGCCCCGTGAGAACGCTACTGGAATTCTACCCCTCCCGCTCCCCGCCAGAGCGAGAGTTTCTGGGCACTTACCGGCAGGGTCGGCTTCGCTCCGGCTGGCGGGGGAAGAAGCCGGGCCGGGCGCTTGACTCTCGTGGCGCTCGCTTGACCCAGGCTTCGAGCCCTCGCCGGGCCAAATCAAACGGACACCGGGGTGGGGTGGGGTGGGGTGGGGGAAGAGGTCGGTCGAGGAGCAGAAGCGAACAGGGGTTACGGTCCCTTTAAGGGCTTTACCTGTCGCCGGCTTGACCCGGTTGCGTAAGTGAACCGGACGTGGAAGTGGGAGGGGAGGACGTGACCCGGAGGTGCATGGTGCGAGGGTCAATATGCCGCTACCCGTCCAAGTCTTCAATTTGCAGGTATCGAGGAAGTTTCGAGGGGGTCGCTTGGGGGGGGGGGGGGCGGGGGGAGGTCTGGCCGCAGGGCGTGTCTTGCGGCGGCTCGAGGCGTAATTCAGGCGGTGGCGGGAAGGAGGCTGCATCGGCGGCGGCTCCTCCGGTGGGATCAGCCCATGTGTTATTCTCGGAAGCTTCCCCCCTGGCTGCCTCCTTGGGGAGGGGAGGCGGCGGAGGCCTCGAGCGGAGACAGATCCGTTGCCCTGAGGCCGAGTGGCTGGTCGCGGCGGCCGCCGGATGGAGAGGCCCCGCCGCCTGGTGCGCTTGGCTCTGCTGCTCCCCTCCCCTCCTTGCTGTTCCTTTTGGATTCTGTGTAGAGGCGGTAGAGGTGACCTTCTCGGGGGCTGCTGGCCAGCCGAAGGATCAGTCCGGAGTTCCTCACTCCACGTAGGGGCTGAGGACACTTAATAGACATTTATAAAGATAAAGGGGAATAGGACAAGAAAATGGTCCTGATGATGTAACCTAGTGTGGTAACGAAACGTTCAGAAGCTAAATTGAAACAAGGTTGGAGAGCAAAACCACTGCCAAAAACACTTAATATAGGCCCGTGCGGGGAAACAGAGCAGTTGGGCTTCATTTGAATGCTTTGAAGAGGTCTTGGGGGATGAGGGGGTGTGTCTGTTTCTTCCTTTATTAGCTTTTCCCCCCCTGAGAGTTGTGCGGTGATACTACAGCGTAAGTGGGGATCGGCTGTCTGTTCCTTACCCTAAATATCACTGAAAGAGAATTATACTCTAGCAGGGTTTGCATAAGGAAGAGTTGTGTGATCTCCTGGTTATGAAATGCAATGCCCGCCAGCAAATTCTGCCACTCAAAAGTTGGAATAAACTGGTGCTTTTTTTTTTTTTTTGGTGCTTTTGTAATTGTGCATTTGCTTCTGGAGATTTAAAAAAAAATCAAAACGATGTCTGAAATGTAATGAGAAATTGAAGTACCTGGGAACAGACATTTGGGCAATCAATTCTGTCTCCTAGGTCGGAAACTTCACAATTGTTGGTGCATTAAGAATAGTAGAATCACAGGACAAAAATAAGGATGGAGAAACTTGCATCTTTCTGTCTCCTTCCTGGTTACAGTCCTCTGCCCAAAAGTTCTCTTTTGTTTCTCAAAGGGTTTTTTGACTTTCTTGTGTTGTTTTTAACTGATGACCAAAACCAACAACCTTGAAAGATGATAACAGAGGGAGGAATTTGGAGGTTGAATTTTCTCTCTTATCAGTGTCTCCTAAAACATTTTCCAAATGTCATGGCCTTGCCGTGTTAAGAAAAATAATGTCTTAGAAATCACAATTATTGCTTGCCCCTCCCAAAAACCCTTCCTCATCTTTCTTACTTTAGAGATGCCATGTATTTTTCCAGCTCCTCTAAGGGCGTTATGGAAAGTTTTCTGTACCCAAGTTCATAATTACCATGTCACAAGTTGCATGAAATGTATCTGTTCTGATTTTACTATTTATAATACAGTATTTAGGCAATTGTGCATCCAAGCCAGTGGATTTGACATTTGTTGCTTGTTTAATGTGGCACATAAATGCTAATTCTTTATAACTTTAAGATGGATATTAATAAAGGCCTATGGTGAAAGAGAAAGAAAGCCAGTTCATATTATTCTAAGCCTACCATGAATTATAGCTGTTTATGACTGCAGGGGCATTAACTTCCTTTCTTTCCTTTAGCAGCTGGCGAGCTCTGTGTCAGGGCGAGGGGGTACAGAGAGTCAGGACAGGATGAGGGATAGTTCAGTTCCAAGCTCAGCTTCCTCGTCAGTGACAGATCTATACAACACTCCCCGCAGCAGTAGGTCAGA